ACTTGGTTCAGATGAACTACCAGATAATGTCAGTAGGAATCATAACTCCACCACAAATTAAGGAACAGAGATCATTGTCATAAGAATGAATTTTAGGCATAGCATGCTTGCTCCCCCATAGTGGTGAGATTTATGCCCATCCTGTTTAGTGGCAATTAAGAGGTATTCTGCTGTTCAAAGACAATGCCTCTTGCATTTTGTGAAAGAAAATTGAGGTTCTCTTTCCCTGTGTAAGTCTTGATATTTCATTTCTCTCTTTAAGTTTCTTAGCCTTTAATAGTAATTTTTAGTTTATAATTTATAATATAATTTTAATTATAATATAATATTATAATTTATTTTATAATTTTGATTAGAAATTAGGCATGCATTTTAATTTTTATGAAAGATATTTTTGAAAATATATTTCCTGCAATTCATCAGGAATTTACCTTTACTCTTTTCTGTAATAAAATTTAGATTTTTACTTCAGAGGGTGGTTCATTTACACATAGACTTTTCAAATAATGATAATATTTGGTTATGCCATAAGACAATAAGGAAACAGAAGTAAGCAGAGATGACTGATTTCAATCTTGATGACAACTATGTTCTTTTTCTTTTTATATTACAAAAACAACAGAAGAGAGGGAAACAATTGTGTTGTTAATGCAATTACTTTAAATTTGAGGGTAAACTATGTTTTTAATTTCTTTTTGTTTTTTTTCCTATGGAGAATAAAGGGAAAGAAGAAAGCTAATAGCTCTACATCAGGGACAATATGAAAAATTTAGACATCTTCAAATCAATACAGAAGATTTTTGAAAACCTTACTGTAAAATCTGGAGCTAAATATTCTCTTACTATATACTTTAGCATAAGTAGCACAAATATCTGAGCTGACCAACTAGAAATGGTGTTATAATGACATTAAAGATTTTAGTCACAGACTGACATACATCCTTGAGGTAAAAATAAAACTGCCAGGAATACAAATATTAACCAAGAGCTGTAAGAGATTTTCTTATATTCTGAGAATGCTAAATTTTTTCTCACAGAAGGCTCCTGGAGCTCATTAAATACCTTCACTCACATTCAAAATTCCTTACTTGGGAGGAATTTTGTATGGTAATTAGAACTGAAACTTAATACATCCATCTTGCTCTTTAAAATATACACTCATGATTCACCCTCTGGAGCTGTTTGTAAAGATGATTTATGGAAATCATTTAAAAAAAGTCCGTTAGCACTTCATGCCATTGAAGATGCAGGGGGAATTCCATGTTTTCTCCATTGTAGGCTGAAAAAAAACCCCAAATCTCTTCTGTTCCTTAAAATCATAAATTTCCTTCACCCAAATCAGCATTTACAACTAAAGGGCAAAGAAATCCTTTATCTAAAGTAATCAGCCACAGACACAAGTTCCTCAGAGGAACCTAAAGATCTCCAGCATTCAGAACTGGAGCTTCTTCCTCCCATGGAAACTTTGCCCTGCAGCTCTGCACTCCAGAGTAGAGTATACATGAGCATGTGATCAAAAGCAAACAGCCCAAGTCACTGTATTATTACCACCACCTGATCAAAAACCCCCAACTCTCCCCTATTTGGAATCTGCTCAAAGGAGGCATAAAACTGATCATAATCCTGAGGAGATACTGCTTATCTTCAAAATAATGTATCTGAAAAAAAGTCTTTCTGAATTTTTCAAAGTCTTTATCTACAAAATAAATAACCGCATAGATGCAACTAAATTAGCCTAAACAACAATGCACTAGAACAATGAAAGGGAGTGATTTGTTAAGGTATCCCTGTCTAGTGAAAAAAAAAAAAGCTGTGAAACATGTGCTTCATTTTAAACACAGATGGAATTAAGCATGTGCTTCAGTTCTTTTCTGAGTCAGAACTAAAAGCTGTAGCTATGTAATACTTTGCCACATTACAGTAGAATCAACTAAAATGTTGCCATCTTGTTTTTTCATATGTATTCAATATCCTTCTCGAGCAGGGGGCTCCTGTGACAACCTCCAGAGGTCCCTTCCAACCTCAGCCATTCTGTGATGCTGTGAATACTGTAGAGATGAAAGCATGCTACAGTTTTGTATTTATTCATAGCATAAACAATACAAAGAATTGTCATTGTTTATGTAAATAGTTGAAAAAAAATGCCAAAAGAAAAATGTGTCATTTGGATCATTCATATTTCTTTATTTAGCTTTGATGGGAAACAGTCTAATTGAAATATTTCCAACAACCATTTAAATTCCAAATGTTCAACACAAAAACTTGGTATCAGATCTCAAACATATAAAGTTACATCTCATTATAATTTAATATTTAACAGAGCTAATCACTTCTGATTTTTCATAATTAGGTTTACAAAAATAATGTTACATTTATAAAATAAATCAGCTTTTCCCAATAAATTACAGTGGTGTTCTTATTCAAAAATGTAATATATCGTACAAAATAGATAACTTTTTGTCAGATGAAATACTAAAGCATAATTTCATCCAGTACATTTTGGCAGTGTGTGAAAACATTTTATTGTACTTTAGATCTAAAGTACAGTGTTAAAATGAAACCTATTAAGCTATTTATTCACAGTGCTTATATTAAGCAAGAATGGCCAACCTGCAGACTACTTTTTATTTCCAGTTAAATGTTTTTGGTCAGGCCAATACTGTCATGTTTATGCAACTGACTTAATTAATTTGACCTCGTAAAGTCCTGCAGATCCATCTTGAGTCCAACACTCTTTCTATGACAAGTCAATTTTTGAACTGCTTAGCATCTCTCATGCATGATTTACCTTTGTGTTTCCCCACAGAGTTTTGGTGGCCAACTTGTAAAAATAGCACAGTAAAGATTCCCCTAAAGTTAATGGCAAAATTTTGGTACTCTATTCTGTCAGAAAAACTCATACTAAAAGGGACTTGTAAAAAGAGAAATGCACTGATAAAAAATAAACACTAAACAACAAAAAGAAAAACACTCTAAAAAGCAAAAGGTGAAGATTAAGAGCTACTATCCGCAAACTTTACAAAAGCAACTATTTTAAAATAACAAAGAAACACAGCATCTACCCGGTGGTAGGTATATTCTCACTGAAGCCTTTTGAATGTTAAGGTCAGCTCAGCATTTACTGCATTGCATTCCCTGCCTGCAAAAACATATCTGAAGAATCACATCAGTTTGAGCAACTTTTAAAAGCCAGAGGTTTAACTACACCATCTTTGGATGCTTTGATTTATGCAGGTGTCTGGTTCAGGATGACCAACATCTCACCTTGAAGAATTTCTGACTCCACTATGTTTTCTCTTTGCAATAGTTCAGCAAACTGCAACATTTTACTCTGTTTTTCTGTATTTCTCTTACATAACTTCTGAGAAGAAAGTCTACTTTAAAAGCATTAAAGGAAAATCATTGCTGTCTGGAATAAATAAAATGTGCAAAGTGGTGATTTTCTTATGACATCACTATTGTATAAGCAACGGGTCACTTCATATATCATAATAGATTATTTTCACAAATTGTAAATAAGTTGTTACATGCCCAAGTAAGCATGTGTCACAAAGCTCCCTTTGTGCAGATCCACAGAGGGTCCAAATCTAGGTGGGTTATTATAGACTCCAGACACAAAACTTAGTTAATGTTGGATTCCCCTAGACTGAAAAAGGAGGAAGAGGAGGAGAAGGGAGCTTGTCATAGTAAATCAATTCATCCCAAGCTTCTGAAAGCTCTTCAAAATCCAGAGGACGAGTATTTGGTGCACTGGCTGTCTTCTGTCTTGAAATACCATGGTTCAAGCCAGGAACATCTGGAGCTGAACTCAGGCACATTGCCACTTGAGTTAGCAAACTCTCCCAGAGCTACCACATAACTACAACTTTTTTTGTAGTTGGATCCTGGAGTGATTGCTGAAACATTCATTCACCAGCTAGTTAGGCAAATAAACACAATGACCACATTGACACTAGGTAAATTAAACAGTACAAAGTCTATACTCCAGCCCTGAGGTCAAGTGACATGGTCTGGCCATATTCCTAGTTATACTTTCTGTGCCCCACATGAGAGGTGGCCATATCCAAAGCACATGGTGAGAAGTCCCTCAACTGGACCTGTTCCCAACGTGTGCCCAGAAATTGCTACAGAGAATACTAGTTTGTCTTGACCAAAAAGCATACCAGTCCTTGTTCTCATCTATATCTAGCAACATATATGCTAGCACCCATGCCTCAGCACTGTCCAATTGACCGATATAGACATTACTGTGGATACGAATTTTAAGAACTCCTCAAATATATTTGCCCATGGTATGCCCTCTGATTCATACAAACATGTAAGCAGGGAGGATTCAACTCTTCTTTTGAAATTCTACTTGAAAGCAAATCAAAACTTTTTTGTTAATGAGGTCGGTATTTCTGTCCATTAAATATTTTCTCCATTTTATTTGAGGCATGTCCTTTGGTTGGTAGCCTACTGTTTTACTGTTATTGGAATCTTGGATTTTTGCCTGATTAACCCTCTTCTTAATATCTACAATTCACAGCTAAATAAGCATTAACCAATTCTGTCACAGTGAAAATATTATATACATATCTAAACCAATAATATTAAGACAACTAAAACAAGAAATAAAAAACTAATCTGTGCAGTTACAAGTTCTAAAAATAATATCAACCTCTATACATATTTGTCAGACTGCAGTGTCCACAGTTAAAGTTGTATGCAGCAGTCAGAACAGTGAGTATTACTTTCCAAATCATGAGGTGTTTTAAAAAACACCTACAGTAGTGGCTGCTGAGGAATTACTTCCTTTATAATCCTGAGTTTTTAAATGTGCAAGTGTCCTACCAATTTATCTAGTGCATAGGAAGGCAGGAAGGCAGGCAGGCAGGAAGAAGGAAGGAAGGGAAGGCAGGCAGGCAAGCAGGCAGGCAGGAAGAAGGAAGGAAGGGAGGAAGGGTGGGAGGGAGGGAGGGCGGGCAGGAGGAAGAAGGAAGGAAGGGAGGACAGACAAGGAAGGAAGGACAAGTAAGGCAGAAACAGAAACATTATCACAATGGTTTTTGTTTCAAAATTGATTGTGGTGCAATAACTGAAGTCTGATTTGCAGACATTTTATATTCTTGCCCAGACCCTTGAGGAGGGGAAGGTAATGGAGTTTCTGGAGTTGCTGAAAAAGAATACAGAAAGAATTAGGGTTTTATATTCTGGCCCACTCGGAATACACATATACATACCACTGCAAAGAAATGAAGTTCTGTTACATTTGGCAGGCTGTGGAAATAGGATACTTTAATTATCATAATTTTTTGTTTATTAAAAATTGTGCATGTGAAAACAATGATATATCAGGATGGTGCTGATTTTTTAAAAGTAGATTAGATTCAGGTCAAAATGTCTTACTTAACACTGTTTATATACGTACATTTTTAATATGAAATTATTTTAATTCAGGAATGTTGATGAAATAACTCTATGAGCACTGACAGGCCATCATTCTAATTAATATTTTTAAATATAGAAGTGAAATATTATGACAGAAGGTTAACTTGCAATTACTTACAAATCTGTTCCGTATGTACAGGAGCAGACATGGAACTTATAAGGATAGTTTGGCCTGTTAATGGATCTTGGGCTAAGTGAGGATGTATTGGATGATGTAGATGACTGGCATCATTAGAAGTACCTACAAAAATAACATGAGCATATAACAATTCAAAAGAGCATGTCATTGCAGAGACTTTTACTTCAGTAATTACATTTCTGCAGACTAAATATTTTGATTGGCAATTTGAATAACTGCTTCTGGGTATTCATTAAACAATTTAACAATACTTCAACCATATTAAGTACTGTGTTTATTTGCACTGTTTTGATGGTATTAACAGCAGATTTCCTGAAATATTTGTAAGGATGCTTCCTTCTACCTACAGAATTGAATGTCTAGATATCCATCAATGATTGAGAAGTGCACAGCATAATCTGAGGCTGGAAGACTGAGTTAACATGATGAGCAGCCAAGTCAAGAAGGCTTCAGCTAACAATTACATGACCCAAAGCTCAGCCAGCAAGGCAGTGGTCGAAGTGCTTGCTCACATCATGATTCCCTCAACATCCCAGTAGGCTAAATTCAATATAATATGACATGTACAAAGTGGTGAATTTAACAAGTTGTTTGCTTACCTCCCAGTAACATTTCTTGAAGCAAACTGTCTATTTTAACAATTCCAAAGAGTTTAACCAGTTGTATTTGCTCAATCATTTGCCAAGTGATGCTCTGGAGTGTAGGCAGTAGAAGCAGAAGTTCTCCAAATCTTCCTCGGGAGTCATACTGATGGTCATTAATATAATCCTCTAAACTGATTTGGACTTGGAACCTCATGTTCTTAATCTTCATTGGATTACTCAGGCCTTTTGCATCTGAAAAAAATGACAAAATCTTAAAGTCAGGCCAGATTATTATTTGGGAGGAGCACTTCACTATTTTTCATTTTATTCTTTTTCATCCAAAGGTAACATGAGCAGATGCTACATCAACAAAAACTACTTTCAATATAATCACATGTAAAATAATTATGAGACATATTTTCAAAAAGATACCTGGATCAAAAAACACGATCGCTTTCAAGCAAGCATACTCATTGTCATCTATATGAATTTCCTGGAAGGGTCGGACTAATTCATCTAGAATCCGATTTGCCACTCGGCTGATCTCTACTTCGGTACTGTTGCGATGGATTATGTAATTGTTGCCTTAAAGAGAAAGAATACCAACACATGGATTGATATAAAGACTTTAATGTAATGTAGCAGATGAAGCCCATTTTCAAAATACATTTCATTTTGCTTAATCATTTTTTTCTTTTAGTATGTATCATACAAACCTGTTCTTTGTAAACAGAGTATGTGTGCAAAATACAGCTGTCACCCAGAAATAATCTGTGCATGTAAATATACCAACTTGTAAAGATTCTGATTAGTCCACAGCTCTGATGTCCATATTTGAATGCACAAGTATGGAGCAATTCAGCCTTTATCTTTTCATAGTAGATAAATATAATGGCAAACTGATCTTAAAATTTCTCCTTTCTCCATTAAAATAATGTTGAATGATCAGGATTTGTCAGTGGACAAAGAAGTCATCTTCCAGAGGAAGCATCAGAAATGCTTCTTTTGCCAACAGATGCATCTGTAATTCCTAATCAAATTTAAAAGCACGTTAAAATTTTCAGTAAAGAATGAATTTGCCCTGCTCTTTTAATTTTAAATTACCATTTTGGAGAAGTCTCAATCATGGCATCTTAATTCACCTTCTGGCCAGAAATCATCTAACATAAGAGGTGAATACACTGTGAAAGCCACAGAGCTTCCAAAAGCCGTCAAACAATTTTTGAAAGAAAAGCTGATGCTTGTATAACAAGAGATCTATGCCAAAGTAACTCGTAAGCTTTACAGATATCTGCCTCTAAGTATTAGAACCTAGCCTTGGTGCCCCAAATTGTTTCTTCTTTTGGTATAAATGCTGATGCTCGTGACACTGACTATAATTTTCTAGTTATTATTTTATCAGTATTTCCCTTATTACTTACTAATCCCAATAAAACTACAAACATTTAATTCCTGTATTTATGGTCAGTAAAGGTGCATCTAGAGAAAAAAACTAGGTCAAGAAAGTAATTTGTATAGTTTTTAACTTGAAAGGATTGCTGATGAAAGTATTATCTCCAGATATTGTCCTGCTTGTCCTTTTAATGTTATGATATGAATAAAAATAAAGTAAAGCTGATTTAGAGCTCTAAGAAGGCAGGCCCAAAGAGGAAGGAGAAAAAATAGCAGAAAAATTCCTTTTATCAATGAAGAAAGCAGTTTGAGTCTATATTCCATGTAGTCTTGCCTCACATAAAAAAACCTGTCCAAGAAGACTTACACATTTTCTCACAAAACAGCCCAGGTGCTGCACATGTTTCATGATGCCATTTTTGGGAAGGTGTACTTCAGCATGGCAGAGTGCTGTGTCAAGCAATGCTAACAAATGCCTCATCATGTCACTATGCACACAGTCAAACATCTTCCTGTTACTGTAACTCTCTGTTGTGTGAACGAAGGGAAGACGTTTCCACCATGTGATGATGTCCACTTCCCTAATAGCCATAGTCTCTTTAAATAATTCAGTGATCGAGCCATTTCAAGTGACCAAGAATATGCAGGCATGACTCCTCACCATGTCATGGATGCACCCATCTCCCACATGGCAGGGGACAACAGGCGTGCTGTTTGCATGATGGCCACATGGCAATTGTCATGGCAGAAGTGAGAGGGCTCTTGGAAAAACGAGTTGCAAGGAACAGGCTGTCCAATTTTTTCTAGCTTGTAGGGTTTCTCTGACTATGTCTGAAGGGCTCTTGAGAATGCTCCAGATAAATGGCTTTTATGAAGACTGAAATTAATACATCACCACAGGTTGGCTGCTCCTCTCTTAAGCAAAGGTGTTTTATGTTGTTTGGCAGGTTCATTGGTTGTTTTCATTTGTACTGTGGCGTGTTTTATGGGACAAAGATGCGGAAAAGATAATAATGTAAGGAGACAATTTGGCATGAACTCCCTTAAATTATGGTTTCTGGTATCCAATAAACCTTTAGACATAGTAACTCACAGGAAACTATCCACCTGCTTTAGCTGGAATGAGGCATGTGACATTATGTCATTAATAGCTATTTAGCATTCACAGAATGCATTGCTTTGATTGTGCCAGAACAGCTGTTCCACTTTAAGTGATTACATGGTTGCTAATGTACTATAACATAATCATTATTAATTAAAACAAAACCCAATATTTACCTAAAAGTAAAATGTCCTTATATGCCATGGACCGTTTTGCTGCCCCAAGCAACAGGTGCTCCCCAGCATGTGCTCTTAGCAAGGCAACCTCAAGGAAAGAACAGGAGACTCATTAGATGATAAAGCAGTAAATTCCAACAAGGGCAAAAGAAATAAGGATGCCTATTATCGTAAGCATATTAAGCTGCAGGTATATGTTTAAGACTGTTAAGATTCTGATGTAAATTGTAAGTGAACATAAAAACCCTAACACTGAGCTTTAAGCAACCTGGTCTAATGGAAGTTGTCCTTGACCATGGCAGAGGGGTTGGAACTAGATGACCTTTAAGATCCCTTTTCACCCAAACTGTTCTGTGATTCTCTGTATTGTTGCACACTATAATTAAATTGTCAGCCTCTGTCACTTGTAGCATTTGGTCTATATTTTAAACCTACAGCTCTGCAAAATACTTCTCAATACAATGCTTGTATTTATTTTCTAGTGAATTTCCCAATGATTATTCCCTTAACAAAATTTTCTCTGGAATTTTAAGTTGACACTAAAGACTCTGATGGGCTTGAATGAACCGTTACAGTAAATTTGACAGTATCTATATATGTATATATGTATAGATATGTATAGATATAGATATATATAGATATATATAGTAATGAAACTATATGTTTCATTTTTCTCACCTTGAATAAAAAAATTATGCAGCACTTAAAAGAGCTTTTTCTCCAGCAAAGACAGATACGCTAAAACATCCACTACTGTCAGCAAAGAAGAAACCTGATTCATACAAGGAAGGCACTTACTTAAAAATGTCGTCATTAGTTTACTCTTTGTCACCTATTTACTTTCCTCTGTTTTTAATGCCTCTGTGAAACTTCAGCACTGGTCTCTGTTTCCTCAATGAACTCTTCTCTTGGCAAGTAATTTTTTTCTTCTGAATCCAAGCCAATACTTTATGAGTGATGTAAAGGCACACAGCATCTAGGAGTACTTAATGTGTTAAAGACTTTTCAGGCTCTCAGTAGAATTAACTTATCTGAGCTGGCCTGGTCTATGGTTTGTAACTCAGGCTGATTCCCAGATCAGGAATAATTTTTTCAAACCAGATGTTTAGTTATTTTATAACTAAATGCACAATGACCCTTAGAAAGAGGCTATCACAAATGAAGAAGCGTAATTTGTTTTAACTCCCAATACCTCTGTGACTACACTTCCAAGGTATGTAAGGTTCAGCAGTACTTCTCAGTGCTCTCCAAGCACTGCACAGGTGTTTTCAGCCTCTCTTTCAAAGCTGTTGCTTATTTGTTTGCTGTTTATTTGTTTTTAATTTAAATACAGACAGGAACTTTTTAATGAGGTCTGATCCCTTCTCTTTTCCTTCATGGCATCTTAACAATAAAACCAGCAATATTTTTGCTTGCCTTTGTTGCCCTTGAGAACACTAAGCTCATATTATGGTGGGTCTCCTGTGGCCTGAAACACCTTCATATTCCTGAGGAAAAGTACATGAGGAATGACTCAGTTTGAGTCTCAAACACAAGGATAACCTAAACTTCCTTTCAGGATTTTGTTCAAGAGACTGAAAGGGCAAAAAGAGAAATGAGACTATTTCACTTCAAAGAGATGTTTTCAAGCTGAATCAGATTTTGGTGGACTGGAATCAAGAGATCCTGAACCATGAATTAACCTCCTGCCCAGGCAGCTGGTGAGAGAACCGCAACATGAAAACACTGGTTCTGAGTGTGCAAGCACAACTTACTCTGAAGCCCTGTGTTATATTAGGATACGTTAGAGATGAGATGATAGATGAGACCTGTCATAAAAACTCTTAAGAATTTTCAAGGTTTGATGCTTTTTTCTTCTGTAGTCATTATATACAACATATATGAAATATTATTTTCTATTGATATCAGTATGATTGGCATGTGTTTGAGATTCTAATGACTTTTATACTTTGCAAATAGAGAAGATCTACTTCAAACTAAATTACATGCTGTCTTAAGCCATATTACAATGAAAGGTGGACATAAACACTTTGCAAAGCATGCAAAGCATGCAAAGCATGTCTTCTTTTATAAGTTTGGGTTGGTTTTTTTTTGATTTTTGCATGCATGTTGCTATCTGTGCCTCCAAAAGAATACAAAAAATGCAAAACACTGAAAGACATACTGTTTTTCTGCTTTTCTTAATGTGATGGACCCACATAAACTTCATCTGGGTTTTTTCTTAATATTTTGTGGTATTGCCATTTTAAAACTTAAAAAAAAAAATTAAGATGGTGGGTTTACCATGCATCTCTATTTGATCAGACAAAAAAATGAGTGTGTAATCATAATGTTTAAATATCACAGAAATAACAGAACAATAATTAAAGTTCTCTCTTTGGTCTCTTCTTATACCTGGTCATCCAGTGGTAATTCACAGAAGCCTGGAATATATTTAGCCCATTCCACCAGGACCAAAAGTTGTTGCTTCATAGATTCACAGACATCACTAATACCAGCAATTTTCTTAACATTTATATCAGTGCTAGCACCGGGACTGGAGATTGAGATCTAGCCATAGTGAGAGGAAAAAAATTTACAATGTTAAATTTCATATAATTGCATTTTCACTGGTTAAGAGCATATTTAAGAAAAAATCACAGCAGTAATCATGCATACCCTTGAGAAGTTCCTTGACCATATAGTCTATTTGTCTGCATGTAAATTATACAATTTCACTTCTATTACCAGTGTGTATTACAATATATTAAAAATTACACTATTCATATCATAATATCTTCTCATTCAAAAATACTATTTTAAAGTATGCCAAAGTCCTTACTATTTGTACGGGGAAGGTGGGGTTTTTTTATTCCTTTGAAATGGTTGATATTTACTTCAGAAAAAAAAAAAAAAGAAAGAGCTCATAGGTCCATGCAGCAACATTAAGGGCAAAGAAAGAAAGAGACAAAGGGGTATCATGTTCTTCTAGTGAAAAGGTAAGTATCATTAAGTTTAGAAGGTAAAACAGGGGGATTTTAGTGCCTGGAGGAGAATGGTTTGTAATGATAAAGCAACAGTATAGGCAGAGGCCTGAGAACATTTCAGACTAAATGTAAAGGATATGAGTGTGCATTAGACCACCTGCAGTGAACAGTGTTCTGTGAAATAAGAAGAGAGCAGTATCTTTCTGGGCCTGAAGCTGAGGCACTTTCACATAATCACTGAGCCAAATCCTGAAATTCTTAATGTCTTTGCAAGGAAATGAACAAAACTGAGCTTGTATTTTCAGTCAGGCAGGAAAGACAACTTAAGATAAAACCAAGTTTGAGAATAAAGGTGAAAGTTTATATCTGCTATCATACCAGGATAAAAAAGAAAAAGATACCAGAAGAAGACAAAGATGAGGAAGAAAAAAAAAGAAGAAAAAGCAAGAAAAAGAAAAAGAAGAAGAAAAAAAGAAAACAAAAAAGAAAAAAGAAAAAAAAAAGAAAAAGGAAAATAAACCAAAAAAGATAAAAAATGAAAAAGAAAAAAGAAAAAGGAAAAGAAGACAAAGAAAATTCCAGGATTGTGGGTGCTACTTAGGTTGCCTCCTACCAAATCCCCTTAATTCACAGATCCATATTAAATCTCCCAGTGGGATTTGTGGTGAAACACCATTATCCTTCAGTGTTCAAATGGAGTTGTACTTCTTGAGCTAAAGCTCATTGCTTCCTACATAATTTAGTAGTCTAAAACACTGAAAACAGCTTAGATATCAATGGCAGCTAACCAGCTGAACACTAGTTCTCAGGGAAATACAGCAGCTAGGCCAGTGAAAAAATCCTCAGACACAAAATTCAAAGGCTGTCATGTAGGGAAAAGGTGAGAGGTATTGTCTTTTTGTAGACAGCACATTCGTGAAATCCTTGATGTAACCATGAGCCCATTTCTGGTGTGTTCCACAGATTGAAACAGCAATTGAAAATACTAAGTGTCATTCAGGTGAGAGCTACCAGAATGATTCAGTCTAGAAAACCATCAGTACAGAAAGACAGTAAAGAAATCCAACATATTTCATAAATTTCCAGAAGAGTACAAGTACTTACACAAAGAAGAGCTCTGATAGCAAGAGGCATTCTGATCTACCAGAAAAAGATACCACCATGCACCAACTAGAAATTAATTCAAGAAGCAAAACAGGCAGATCGCTTAGCTGTTACACTTAGTAAATCATGAACTTAATACATTGTCCTTCATTTAATATCTTTTAACCAAAGCTATGCATCTTTATAAATTGCATGCTATAGAACAAACTAGAATCTGCTGAAATTGCTTAGTGAGCTGCTAGGGATTCATGTGATGACTCCCATGGAGAACATTATGAACTCCTAGGGTTGCATCTCCTTACAAGAATATGAAGCTATAGATTTCTTTTTCTATTTCTCTATTGCTTTAACCTCCTTGTCATTTCAGGGGTGCAACACTGGAGTCTCTGATTTCATAGAATCATGAACTAGCCCAGGTTGGAAGGGACCTCAAAACATCACCTCATTGAAGCTTTTTTTGTAAGAGAAGCCTATATGAGATTATCTAGCACCCTGTCCAATCACATCCTGAAAATCTCCAGTAATGGAGACTTCACCACGTCCCTGGAAAGGTTGTTCTAGTGTTTGATTGTTCTCACTGCAGAAAATTTTTTTCTTACATGAAGATGAAATGTCTCCTGGTGCAACTTGTACCCATTAATGACCTGATGAACATGATGATGTAACACTATATCCCTATTGTCCTGAGAGCCAACAGACACACATGCTTTTACTCCTACAAGAGTCCAGCGTGCCTCTCTCATATTCACATAATCCTAGAAAATCCTGGGTCTGAACAAGAAAATTTGTAGTCAGATATGTTCCCCCTAGAAGGGATCTTCAGAGACAAAATAATTCATTTTCCTAATTTCAAGATGATTTTTTTTAAAAGGGATGAATGCCACCTTCTTCCTCATTTCACAGCTGATTTGTGACACTACTACACCTTCCAAGTCTCTCCTCAGGACTGAACTCATCCTACAGACTGATCTGATCAAGAATAAAACGAGGACCTAAAGTCTTTACTTTTCCATCATGCTAATGTAACCTCTTGGTCTTTAAGGCCATATACAAAGAGTGTATCTTTGTATATGCTTGGCATAGTAGGAACTATTCTCTCCCACTACAATATACCAAATAATAATAAGTAGAATAATCTTGTGTGCATACGCAAGATGATGTTTTAGGCCACGAATATACCATCTGAAAAGAACTTGGTGGCAGCAAGAGCTGAGGATATGATTCTGTTTAAGACAGCTTTTATTCCTGTATTGGATATACCAGTTGGACATGATTAAGGACTAACTCAAACAAGCACAATAAGCAAGTTCAAAGAATTACTAAGGAGGCAAAGATAAGTATATTTTTCAGATTTCATAGGTATGAAGGTAGGAAGATCCATTACATTCACCTAGTCTGCCCAGACATGAAATATGTGCCAAAGACTATCACCCAGTAATTCCTGCATCAATTCTTTACAGACAGTTCCACCCTAAGCAAGATGCTGATAAAGGATGAGATTATAAAACATTTGGGGATGTATAAATCAGTCAGCATGAAATCGTAAAGGTGGCAGTTAAATTCTATGTAAGTAAGTAAGAGGTGCAAGAATGCAGAATCAATGACCATGACTTATCTGAGGCGCAGAAAAGGACTGGAGACTGTTCCATTCAGCAATTGATTGGACAGGGAAAAAAAAAAAAAAAAAGAAAAGAAAAAGAAAATTAAGTAATTAAGTTCAGATGAGATAAAATTTAAAAGTGAGATGTGAATAGACTTTGCAGTTGGAGCACTTCTGTTTGAAATATTTATCATGTCTAAGGATATTAAAAATGGGATTTTCAAAAGAATCTAAGGAAGTGAGTGTCCACACCCCTTGGAATGTAATGGATTTGGACAATTTTTTCCCTAATGTTTTATGGGAAAGCCAGCCTCAAGGATAGCTAGATGCCACCAGCTGCCTGAGACAGCAAGTGATTTAAAAGCAGTAAGAACCATAAAGCTTTATTAAGAAAGGTGCCTAGGACATATTGTCCTCGACAAAGTAGAACTTTTTTCTTACTGACTTTAAGAACGTATTCTATTACCGATTCTTTCATTGGGAAGAGAAAGCTGGATACATCTTGGAAGTAGAAAATAAGTAGTTTTAATGATTACATTTAAGACAGTAAGAAAGTGAAAAGTACTTAACTTTCCAAAAAATGATCTTTAAACATTTAAACATAAACATTTAAACATAAAGTCATTAAACAATTTGATCTCAGTACCTGACGGGAGAGTGTCTCAGCTTGTGACAGTGTGCTAATAGAGGGGATGTTGCAGCCATCAAAAGTGTTTCTTCTTGTACTTATCCTGTCCCGTTCATTTTGTACAGCTGGAAAAGAATAATCATCTCATTTATTGACTTTTAGACATTGACACACAATATAATTTCATAATTTTACTAAATAACTATAAGAATTGAAAGGTGTGACATTCAAGAAACCCCTTTGTTTAGCTCTAAGTAATGAGGAAGGGTGAGAATACAAGATTATGGTCTTTATCTGGCCAGTTGGTCTATACAAACTATGTATAACTAATTGTAAATAGATATTGAATTATCAGAACTTTCGTGACCAGCTGTATTATAGAAAAACCTCTTTCTTCCTTTGAACTTGAACACATGCTGTCAGTTTTGTTATTTTAAACATTTTTTTTATTTTAAACAATTTGACCTGCTCAACAGGTCAAGTTGTACACCGACACCACTGACAAAATGTCTCAGTCAGAGGACTGGACTGAGGTATGTCCATCATATTTGAGAAATCATGGCAGTCAGATGAAATTCCCGATGACTGGGAAAAGGGTAATATAACCCCCATCTTCAAGAAGGGGAAAATGGATGACCCAGGGAACTACAGACCAGTCAATTTCACCTCTGTGCCTGGCAAAACCTTGGAGAAGATTCTAGTGTAAAGCATGCTAAGGTAAACGAAAAACAACAAGGTGCTTGGTGACAGCCAGCATGGCTTCACTAAGGGGAAGTCTTGACTGACCAATTTGGCGGCCTTCTATGGTGGGGCTACAGAACTGATGGACAGGGATAGAGCAGTTGATGTCATTTACCTGGACTTGTGCAAAGTGTTCAACACTGTCCCACACAACATCCTTGTCTCTAAATTGGAGAGACATCAATTTGATGGATGGACCACTCAGTAGATAAAAAACTGGCTGGATGGCCGCATGCAAGGAGTTGTGGTCAATGGCTCAATGTCCAGTTGGAGACCAGTAATGAGTGGTGTCCCTCAGGGATCAGTGTTGGGACTGGTCTTGTTTAACATCTTTGCCAGTGACATGGACAGTGGGATTGAGTGCACCCTCAGCAAGTCTGCCGATGACACCAGATTCAGAGCAGCCCTACGGAGAAAGACTTGGGGGTGTTGGTTAACATGAGCCGGCAGTGCGCGCTTGCAGCCCAGAAAGCCAACCATATCCTGGGCTGCATCAAAAGGAGCGTGACCAGCAGGTCGAAGGAGGTGATCCTGCCCCTCTACTCTGCTCTCGTGAGACCTCACCTGGAGTATTGTGTACAGTTCTGGTATCCTCAACATTAAAAGGACATGGAACTGTTGGAACAAGTCCAGAGGAGGGCCACGAGGATGATCAGGGGACTGGAGCACCTCCCGTATGAAGACAGGCTGAGAAAGCTGAGGCTGTTCAGCCTGGAGAAGAGAAGGCTGCATGGAGACCTCATAGCAGCCTTCCAGTATCTGAAGGGGGCCTATAGGGATGCTGGGGAGAGACTCCTCATTAGGGACTGTACTGGTAGGACAAGGGGTAACAAGTTAAAACTTAAAGAGGGGAAGTTTAGATTGGATATAAGGAAGAAGTCCTTTGCTGTAAGGGTGGTGAGGCACTGGAATGGGTTTCCCAAAGAAGTTGTGAATGCCCCATCCCTGGCAGTGTTCAAGGCCCGGTTGGACAGAGCCTTGAGTGATATGGTTTAGTCTGAGGTGTCCCTGCCCATGGTAGTGGGGTTGGAAGTTGATGATCTTAAGGTTGTTTCCAGCCCTAACTATTCTATGATTCTATCCTATGTATCATGAAGTCTGAAAGCTCTAATCCTGCTCTCCTGTGAGAACCCCTGAAACACGAATGAATCATGAAACTAAGCCATTAGTAAGATAATTTTCAAACATAAATCTCATCCTCCTCCTCAGTGACACTACATTCTTAACCAGTTTACAGAAGATTAACTAAATAATAAAAACAAATAAATGAAAAAAAAGGCACCAAAAAAGTTTCAGGCCAATAAGTTTTGTCTCGTGGGGTCCAAAAAAAAACGCAGTTGAAAGGGCTTTGGATAAGGAATCCTTTAGCAGCACACACAGGGCTTATGACGCAACAAGGCCAACTTTTGTACTGAAGGAAGAATTAAAAAATTAAAGTATCGATCAGATTTTTTAAAAATCTAGATCAAGTCCAAGTTTAGGCCAAGGAGAAAAGAAAAAAAAAAAAAAAGAATTGCGATGATCAAATCTTTTTATTGCACAAGGAATCTCATGATCTTTTAAGAGCAGCAGCTTTATTTCCAAAGATGTTTGCTATTTTGTGAGAAACAATCTGCATTACAGAATTTAGGAGCAGTACCAAAAGCTTCAATAAAAACGAAAGAAAAAAATCTATTCACTTAATAGTTTTCAGGGTTTATCCCAACAATGCACATAGTTTATTCCAGAGGTGTACTAAGTTTTTGCCAAGGACACTCATTGATGTGCCTTTTATTGAGGTCACAGTAAGAAATGTTGTGCAGTGATAAACACAAAGCAGTAAATGTTCATGAAGACAGAAAACAAAAAATATAACCTTTTTCAAAAGAATGGAAGAAAACCCTATTCACTGAGTTTCAGCAGCTTAAGTACTACATAGGTAATTAAAATAAGTTTGGGCCTGATTAGCATTAGAAAAAATAGTCAGCTCCTCTGACAATCACTGGTAAAGTGCTGGAGCACTTTAAGAATCATAGGGAAATGCTTGTTTTCTCCCGCATATGTATAATTTTGGATTATTAGACTGCATTGTCTGTCTTGCTAAAGCTTTTTTGTCAGTTCAGGCTAAAATTGCCTTAAACAGAGACTCCATGAGGAAGGGGGGATATTTGCTCAAAAGGGGCTTGCATAGCTAAAGCTTTTCTCACCTTTGTCCTGAAGAAACCCATTTGCTAGAAACAAGCTGAGAAACTACCATAAAGACTCTGCTACACTTACACTATGAGACATCCACTGATGGTGTAGAGAGGTATATAACAACACACAAGCAGTAAAATTTACAGTTCAGTGTTTTAAATTATTTTAGCACTGGGAAGCCTTAAATAAACATGGCTTGGATGGAATGAAAAACTAAATTTATATAGGTAGTGAGACCAGAGGAGGCTGTGTGGAGTATATTAGGTTAAAAGTTTTGTGCAGGATACATCTTCACTTCATAAACAAGAGTCAGCAACATGCCTTATGGCAATGTCAGTTAATATCAGTGTTTATTTCTCTGGTTTTGGGCTCCCCAGGACATGGGGAAAGTGAGCAGTGTCCAGCTGAGGGCTATGGAGATGTAACTCACAAGGTACACAAGAGAGAAGCATCTTTGCTTATATAGAAAAGCGAGGACCAAGACAAGAGGCAGGGAGTCTTAATTTCTGTAGTTTACAGGAAATGGGGCCGTTTGAGAGGAGAGGTTCTTCTTAGATGCACAGTGAAAGAAACAGAGGCAATGCGCACTACCCTAATTGCAGTAAAACACATTCTAATCACAAGGAAAAAAGGGTGGTCAAGCACTGGAAAAAGTTGCTGGGAGAAGTTGTGGAATGTCTCCTCTCAAATGAGGGCATAAATCTCGCTGGACAGGGTCCCAACCTACTTGCTTGAATCTAGAAGTTAGACTTAAATGGGGGCTAGAGTAAATTACTTCCGGATGTCCCTTCTGAGCTAAACTATTCTTTAATCCTGGGGCTTGAAAGTCTCTGACGCTTTGCATTTTGCAAAACTCTTAAAGCTGCTGTGGACACACAGGTTTCCCCTTTTCTTCATTTCAGATTGATAATACAATATGTTACTGGTTTTAATGGACCAAATTCCAAAAGGCTAAACTGTATTCAAGAGATTCACAAGCATTAGCAAATGCATTTCATGCATAGGCAGCGTAACACTGTTTAAACTATCCTCATCCAGCTGCAAGGAGAAAATACATTTTACCTCACACCAAAACTTGATCACTAGCAAAGCAGTGCTATAGTATCAATATAAAAGAGCATTAAGAAACAGCTTCCTTTTACTTAGGGAAGCTATGTATAGACAAAAAAATATTATAGACTAGTTACAGCACACGAGAACTGCACACTCACATCGCAGACTGGCCTTCAGGCAGATACACCATGCGCCAAACAGGTAGCAAATTTCGGGATGAACCATTTTTGAGTGCTTATTTGAACCAGATCAGGACGTCTTTTGACTCTATATCGTAATTGCCACTGAAGCAACAGACCCAACAACCTGATACAAAAATCCTCTGATACTCCTACTGCCTTTCTTTCCCTATTGCTCTGCTCCTGTGGTCAACTGGTTCTTCTACTTTGACAGAAGGATCACTGTGACATTGGCAAGTAACAATCTTCCCATATTAAGTCCTAGTGAGATCATAAAAATTTTTAATTAATGTGGATAATTCACTGTCAGCTGCCCCTACTGTTCTCACCACCACTTTTTTGCTTCCCCTGGCTTTAATTGCTTCAAACATTTAAATTTAAGGGAATAACCAGTAAATTTGCATTACTTCAACTCGGTAGAAGCAAAATCCCAGACACAGATTTTTATGATTCAAATCTGGTAAAAATTAAAATCTCACACTTTGAACTTTTCCAGGAGATGGCTCACCACTTAGAAATCAATGAATCTTGGTGCCAGGATTCACAGGTTAAACAGCTGCAAATTCATTTTAAACCCATATATTTGCTAATGCTCAGTGGTGAAAATTAGATGATGCATATTTCACCTCAATACAAGAGCATTTTTCCATCATGAAGTCATTATAGCAGACTTTCCACTGAATTTTTTGCTGGAGTTTTTTAGAATTTCTATTTCATTTTAAAACTAATTCAGGTTATTTCTCTTTTTATATCAAATAATAAATTACTCCATTACCTTCTTTTTTCATTCCTGCTCGAAAACACTTTTTTAAACGACAATATCTGCATTGATTCCTTTTGTCCTTGTCAACAATACATTGCCGGTTAAATCTATCAGAGACAAAAAGAGGTAAACGTATAAAGCATTAATAAAGCAGCATCCTGATTATGAAGAGGAAAAACTAACTAGTCTCGCCTATCATAAAAATGTCTACAAAAACAACTTTCTTCTTCTGTTGTTTTTATTTTTTTTATTAATTATTTTTGAGGGATATTTCATATCTGCTTTGTTTGAAGGAATATACATATATGTATAGACACTTATATGCATTGGAATGGGAAAGCATGGAAGATTTTGGAGTTACATATGTGCATTATTTACACTTCAGCTTATTTGTGAGATGTGTCAGTAACTGGCTGCATCAAATGGTGGTGGTGGAAAAAGGGAGGAGAAACTACAAATCGAAAAAAGAAAGGACCATCAAAGAAGATGCCAAGCATGGCTGGCATGGAAGAACCCTAGCCTAAACAGGAAGTATTAAACTAATGCTAATATTAAACAATGAAGGAAAAGTGTGGCAAACAACATTTCTAGTTACAAGTAATTCTTACAAAAAGTTTTCTCCTATAGTGATTTTCTGAACTCTCAGAGGTGTCTGTATATTTTGTGGACAGCTTAAAACTGATATATTATGGACTTGTGCATGAACAGAGCAATTTGTCAGACATAGTGCACAGACCTGTAGTGTGATAATTTGGGCAGCCAGACACCCAGAAATTAGCAGATAGCCATTCAGACTGACAGGGGGGCCATCTCAACAGACATCTGGAATGTGTAATATTAAGTAGTCTTGAATAAAAGACATTTTTTTCCCATTATAAGATCATAAGAATATACCATAAAACACATGTTCATCAAAAATGCTGGTTAGAATTCAATGAGGAATTAATGAAAATACCCTGACATAGTTCTGAGAAGTCTGAAAGTAATATTTGCTTAAATTCATTAATTTAGTGTCTCTAGATGAACTTTTGAATTACCTGCATGTATAGACATGATTTTTCCGTATACTGCGCCTAAAGAACCCCTTGCATCCATCACAGCTTGAAGCACCATAATGTTTTCCAGTCGCTCGGTCTCCACATATTGCGCAGAGACTACTGACCCCATTGTCAGTGGCATTCATGTTGACAGTGTCTCCTGAACTGTCTGAGGGAGGTAAGAGCAACATATGTAGTTATGGAAAGTACTTTCAACAACCACCCTATGAAAATTTGTACTTAAATGGAGGCGCTTTTTTTTTGCCTTTTCTAATTGCTGCTTATTATTTATATAACACATTATATATGATTACATCTGGTTCCTGTCCAGATCAACACTTTCAGAGTTACAGAGATGTTAACAGAGTTTATGAAGTTCAAAATAGCAAGTAATTTTCTTGACCTCTTTCCAAATGAAAGGGGTTAAAGTGTAACTCTGCATGCATATACGTTCTTTGCTAACATGAAGAGGAACTTTGGCACAAAGCAGTGTTAGCTAGTTAGCTGGCAAAGATCTCTTGCATCGGTTCTTATAGGAGCTGGCAATAACTGGCAACTATCATACAAAAGCACATAGAATCATAGAATAGATAGGGTTAAAAAGGATCTTAAGATCATCTAGTTCCAACATCACTGCAATGGGCAGGGACAGTCATGACAGCAAATAAACAAACAAAAAAAAAAGACAAGACTTTTTTTGGCACAATACTTGATGAACAAAGATTGCATGTTAAGACAACTAAGCGTTATTTCCTTGTACAAATTTTCCAAAGGAACATTGGTGCAGACTTTACTTGCACAAAAGAATATTAGCTATGTGATTAACAGTTAGTCACTGAATATTGTAAACAGTACTGAAGAAATTCACCTGAAATCAAACCAGACATATCTATTCTCCTTTGAGTCACACTGCTGAACTGATTTGTTCAAGGAAATAATTACAAAATAGCTTTTACTGTTATGCTTCTGGTTTTACAAAAGAAAAGCTGTTTGTATCATGCCCTAAATATTTGCAATTTTTCTGTCAGTGAGAGGAAAGAGTGCCACGTTAATTAGTTACTCAAACATGCATTCAAAAGTCAAGTACATGAGTTCAGGAACAGTGGACAGCTCAAAAAATAAAACTGTTCACACTGATACATACTATTATTCAAAAAGTACTACATGCAACTGAAATACATTATTATGCAAATATATTATAAAATGTTCATTGTGTCCCAAAAACCTTATAATTTAAACAGAATTCTTTAGACAAAGAGAGAAGAAAACACAATTTTTTTCTATTTTACAAAAACATAATTGGTAGGAATTATATTCAATATTGACTAAATACAAATGAAAACTTAAAGGTAAGAATTCAGTTCTGTAAATATTTTATTTTAAACCTATATTTTGTCATGACTAGAAAATTAATTTTAAAAATGGATTAGAGAATTACTTTAGCTAGAACAATATAAACCCTTTCTTTTGGAGTTTTGAAATTTCGATTCATAATGATACAGCAGAATAATTAAAAATACAATATGTAAATTTAATGGTGAAATATTTCATAACAATGTAAGTTGGGTGCATGTGTTAGGATATATTTCTCCTTTTTGGCATTATTCAAAACAAAACCTTTGGGAAATTCACATGATTTTTCAAAATTCTTTGACTTCAACAGCACTGCATAATCTGTCTGAATGTAGCTTTTTAAACTTCTCTGAATGTTAGTAATTAATTTAGGCAGCTAAAAAAGACACAAAGGAAAGTTCATAAGAGACAGCTTTCAGTTCCAGATTAGCACTGCAACTGCAAGACAATGTCTGTATAATTCTATAAGAAAATACTTAAGGTAAACTCAAAAGGAAACTCTAAACAGGAAAAGGCTATACCTAATAGCTAATAAATAAAGTATTCACTTACAGTGAATAATCACCAACATCTGATGTAAAACAGCATAACCTCCCTAATCTGCTTTCACATTTTATGTACCATTAACAGATCTAGTCAGCAAAAAAACCCAAACAAATGACCATTGAATTCATCCATATTAGAACCAAAAGCAGAGAAATCATCTAAAAGTTGCATAATCATTGTCGACAGCTTCGGAATCACTTCAGGCATAAAGGTCTGTTTTCTCTTCCTGAATCAATAATCAAAGCTATCTTTCTGTTTACTAAGCTTGCTCTAAAGTGACATCAGAAATTCAGATAAAACTTCAAGCCCAACAATAAAAACAACTTAGAACTTACTTAGGTTCTAATTTAGGCAGTAATATGTGGAAACGCAGAAGCTAAATATTTTTCCTCAAAATCAATAAATATTTGCTCTGCCTTTAAAAAATACCTATTACAGTAGGTCTATGAGTTATACTTTATGATACAATAAAACAATTTGTAAGTATGTTAGAAGATTTGGAAAGCCATTTTAGAGTAGCTTAATTTTCCTGATACTTTTCTTCACTTTAGTAGACTGGTATTTCTTTTTTTGTTGTTGGTTAATACTCAATGGCAGGATGAAATGGTGTGCTTCCGATTTCAAGCCTAACTTACTGATGCAATTTCTCAAAAATGTATTGCATTACAGATTCCACCTAAAGTTAAACTGTTACATTAGCCAAATGCATATAGATTTTCTCAGCTAAACGTTAGCCTTTAGAAAGCCAGTGTGGGTTTGTTTGGTTTGGTTTTCTTTAAAAAAAAAAGAAAACACTAGTTCATATGCACATATTTAGAAAGACTAGTTTAACATTTAAATAGATAAAAAATTAGTCCGACAATTAAAAACTAGGTATCAAGAAACAGTGGCTAATTTTTTTCACAAGTCCCTGGATAATTTTGTGAGTCCTTCCAAATGTTATATATGAAATACACTTTCGTGTCCAAACTGTCAATACTAGTTATTCATTTGTCTTACAGTAAATAGAACAACTGCTGAATACAACATCTTCTTCCTTTGATTAACTGACTGGTGACACTACAGTTCAGTTACTTTACTACAAAACCCCTCTCTTATTTTCCTTAATGTTAAAGAATTATAATGTTATTAACTTAAAATTAGTGATGAAGTCTAAAGGAACAGGTCTGTAGTTTAAAAACAACCCCCAAATGGTTTCTTAATAAAACATTTAGCTAACACCATATAGCATTACTGAACACTTTTTCTGTTAACTGGCTTGATTTTGCATCACAAAGCAAAACTCACCACTGCTGTTATAGAGGATCTGCATAGTTTCAAACTCCAGTGCCGTATATGTCGGATCTAAAACTTCACTGTAGTTTGCCATTTCCATGTCTAGTATTGGTTCTGAGAACCTCATCATTGAATGCAAAGCTAGTGAAAAAGCTGCTCAAATGTATAACAAACACTCCCATTCTGTTTCACAGTGATAGATAATCCAAAGTTAACTATAACTGTGTCACTTACACGCTGTGATGGGAGGAGCTGGAAAACTGCTTCTGCATGCTATATTCTACCTGTGGAGATATGATACAGCGCAAACCTTCCGATAATCTTGGAGTGCTTTATGGAATAACCTTATCAGAAGTTGCACTGGTTCCAGCTCTTGAGTGAACTCAAGGACACACAGGAAGCTTCCTATCTCCTACGCCCTGCTACACATTTTGCTGTCCATGTGGTATAACCAGTCCTAAACAAAAAACTCTGGTTCTTCTATGCAAAGAGACTGTAGGTTCAGATGTCATTTTGCTCTCTCTGTTCAGAACAATAAGGAAGGGTGACAGGATTATGGACTATCCTCATACACAAATCATCCATCATCATATTTTAAAAGACAGATGCAAACCCTCCCATTTTTACAACTGCTAGCATTAACAGTGGCAATGAGTTGGCTGTGTAGGCACACTGAACTGAGGCCTCAAGCAACACAAGCTCTAAAGCAAAGCCAGTGTCTATATCCCCATCACACACTGTGTCGCTGCAATGGCTCTAGGCAGTGGACCTTGCACACTCTCAGAAGGTGGCTTCCTGCTCTAACCTTTCTTCATACAAGATATCATAGCAGCATGTTGTTTTCAAGCACCATTCAGACACACAGGGAAAAAAAGTATCAGTCACTTTCTCTGAAAAGAAGAATATCTGGGTAGGTCATCATTGTTCATCAGCTGGTACATGTGCCCTGTACAAACCCACTTAAAAACACTCCTGTAAAACTGCTTCAACCTATGCAAAAGATAGCTGAATTTCACTTGCTAATCAGGTGCTTTTAAATGTTGGATAGCAGAACTTCAAGTGTTATTACTTCTCAATAAATTCTTTACAGAAACCTACCCTTGACATTGTTGAACAAGTTACATTAAAGTTTACATATATGGGAAAACTGCCCAGTTTATGTTTAATTAACAAGAGCTAGTAGCTGTTTATACATCATTGAAATTCATTTTAATGGAAAGAATGCCTGCAGTTGCTGTTCAGCATAAATACCTGCAAAATGGCACAATGAAACAACTCTCTGATTAAGAGATTGATGACAGACAAGCTACCAATGAAGAAGGAAAATTTACAGGGGAAGACCTAGAAAAAAAGCCCTCTGAAATGCATCCTTCTAATTTCCAAGTCCGCAGAGTAACTTCAGAGTCACAAATAATCCTGTCTCCTTGTGGACACACAGATGCAGTCTCAGGCCAGTCCACCTCCTTACTCCAGTGGATTCCAGTGGCTTAATTATGACAAGATTCTTGTCTAAGTCACAGAGGTATCTCCAAACCAAAGAGCAATTATTATCATGGTACTGCTTTCACAAATTCTCCAGATATTGAAAGCTTTCCACAGGCACTGCTGTCCTTTTCACCTACTGTTATTCCTTTTCCTTTAAACCATTCATCCATTATTATACTCAGTAAGATATCAAAAAACTGAAAAACTTCTTAAAAAAGACAAATCTATAAAGTTCTGCCTCCTTATGAACAGCACTTTTATTAACAACCAATGTAACTACAAATACTTCCTATACACTACAGAAGAAAAATAACATATCAGAATTTTATAATATACTTAAGTTTATCATTGAAATGTTAGAATATTTCATGCCTACGATCATGGAAAATATTCTACTCAGAAAGTATCATTTCACAGTACTAGAAGTACTCAAAGTTGCCTAGTCCTCAACCATAGCTAATACCTTTTTATTTTTCTTAAAGCAGCATATTTAACAAAACTGATACAAAG